TATATATATATATATGGCATTTTATACTTAATACTGCCTAAGATATTATATATATGGCCTTTTACACTTAATACTGCCTAAGCTATAATATATATGGCCTTTTACACTTAATACTGCTATATATATGGGCTTTTACACTTAATACTGCTTAAGTTATATATGACCTTTTACACTTAATACTGCTATATATATTTGGGCTTTTACACTTAATACTGCCTAAGCTATTATATATATGGCCTTTTTACGCTTTTTCCTCTTTACATTCTTAAAATCTCTATTAGATGAGCTTAAGTTACCAAATGTTATTTTATTCAAACCATACCCACTAATTGATATGATGTTTTTTCAGGTATTAACACCTTGGGAAATCAGTATTAGCCACTCAAGTGACCCTAGCAGGAGTAAGATACAGGTTTTCATTGTGGTGTGCCCAAGACTGGCAGAAGCCTTAAAGAAACTGCAGCTATATTACAGACAGAAGATTAGTTTAGATGGTGAGGACACGACTCTGCATGACAGAAATCTGCTTCTCTCACCAGGTAAAGGATTTGTTTCATTGGCCGATATTCTGAAGAGCTATAGTTCCGAGGGACCAATATTTTGAAAGTTGAACATAAAAGCAATTACACGTGTAGGCTTAATGCACATTCTGGTTGTTATATTACATACACAGTAGTATGTGTATAATGTTATATTAGGGACATAAGCCGATAACATTTCGAGGTATGTTTGTAATCATTCCAAAGACCCATATCACTGTTATCCGTAATTAAATTTTCTAATCTTTCGAAACAGTATGTCAAAATTCTCATAATAACAATAATATTATTATCATGATACAAACAGGATGAAAAAGTTGAATAACAATAAGTATAATAAAACAAATATCATTACTAGTGGAACATTGGTCTGTCCCTAGTTTGTTATAAATCTAGACTGTCTGGAGTTTCACTCAAAGGTCTATGTAATATTTCAATGGCCCCCAGTGGCACAGCAGTATGTCTGCAGACTTACAATGCTAGAAACCAGGTTTCGATACCCGTGGTGGGCAGAGCACAGATAGCCCTTTGTGTAGCTTTGTGAACATATATTAATTGTTATTTGCAGAAGGTATTTCAGTTTATCTCATCGGTTCCCACTTTCTGTTGTATTGAGTGTGCGGATTTCTAATTGTTTTGAGTTTGTTGTTGTTTTTTGTCTTAAATCTAGATGTGAACCTTTGGAAACTTTTGTCATTGGTGTGGGCCCCTCAGTGGCACAGCGGTATGTCTGCGGACTTGCAACGCTAGAAACCAGGTTTTGATACCCATGGTGGGCAGAGCACAGATAGCCCTTTGTGTAGTTTCGTGCTTAACTACAAACAACAACAAATATTTCAATGAATACCTCACACATCTCGCGTACTATCAAAAATATGAAACTTTACAACTTTGAAAGAAAACTTTCTATGTAGAGTCACTAACATAGTTGTTTTTGTTAAATTTAAATTAAGATCATGCATAAACATGTTCCATTCTTTTAGCTTCTGTCACTAGCATTGGCTTTCTCACATCTGTGCTGAATGTGTGTTGAAATAAATTTATTGAAATAATATTTACTCAAACATACATGTAATGCAGTGATTTAAAGGTTATTTTTTTTTCATTTCAGGTTTGAAATTTGATTTATTTAGAAAATCATTATTAAATCCTACAAGATAACTATAAGAATTTATTTTCTATCAAAAATTACACCTGAAATTTTATTTAGCTATTTTTCAAGCACTTTTGTATGGTTTATGTCTTTTATATATGTATATAAATGAACCGTATTAGGCTATATATTCAACACAGCATTTAGTTAATATTGCTTGGTGACATAAATTTTTCGTTAATATTATATTTCAGGCAGAATGTCCTCTCTCAGTTGTATTTAAACTTCAAACTTTTTTTTTTTCATCTATAGAATAACACTTTAATGAACCTGAGCATGGTTGTTCTGGCTGAAATATATTGTTAATAAAGAATACATGTTTTCAAGTTGTATTAATGTTATGCCATGTCACATTTCTTACCAAAGCACCGTTTCAAATGTTATTTTACTCTGTGTGTCTCCATTAAACTGTGACATTTTCGGTGCTATCACAACATCTCAAGACAATAATTCCAACCACACGGCCGTGCTTACAACATACAGCCACTTAAAACTGTAACATTTTCAGTGCTATCACAACATCTAAAGAGAGCAATTCCAGCTACAAGGCCATGCATTACAAACTAACATACAGTGGAATAAAAAAAATATAAACACAGCTAACCTAACTCACAATACTCACAGAAAAATGAGATGGCAAGGATGAACATAATTTTGTGAATGTTTGATAAACTAAAATAAAAACTATTTACAATATAACGATACATTGCCAAATGTGTAAAATAAAAATTATTTACAATATAACGATACATAGCCAAATGTGTAAAATAAAAACTATTTACGATATAACGATACATAGCCAAATGTGTAAAATAAAAACTATTTACGATATAACCATACATAGCCAAATGTGTAAAATAAAAACTATTTACGATATAACCATACATTGCCAAATGTGTAAAATAAAAACTATTTACGATATAACCATACATAGCCAAATGTGTAAAATAAAAACTATTTACGATATAACCATACATTGCCAAATGTGTAAAATAAAAACTATTTACAATATAATGATACATTGCCAAATATGTAAAATAAAAATTATTTACAATATAACGATACATAGCCAAATGTGTAAAATAAAAATTATTTACAATATAACGATACATCGCCAAATGTGTAAAA